TATATATATATATATATAATATATATATATATATATAATATGCTGTAATGAATAAATCTAACAAAATTTAATTTAAATTGCCAATGAGAGCCGACATTGGATGAAAGCGTGTTTTAGTTTTAATAAAAGCGTGTTTTAATTTTATTTATTAATCTTTATTTGAAAAATAAGTCCAAAATTTAAAAAAAGAACAACTCTTTTATTGTAAAAAATATGCTTTACGTACTTTTAACGCTAAAACATTATACCATGTCTCTTGATTATAATCTAAACACGCTTTTTCGTCGCATTTTAAATAACATCTGCTGTCACTAAGTTCTAATCTTCTCGACAGTAAATGACGTCAGGACGTAGGCAGAGAGACACGACGTGTTCGCTCTTGTAACTTGCTCCCAAGGTTGCGAGCCGCATGCTTGCATAGTAATCTCACTTACGCAATGTACTGAGACATCGGAGAGACCACGTAATATGCACCAAAGATATTAACAGACAAGATAAACATGGTTCAATAAACAGAACTGGTGCACACTCTCGTAAAAGCATATTACGATATCATGAAAAAAATGTGGTTCTCAATATAAAATATTAAGTCAGAATACTCTTTTTCTCATTTAATCAGAAATACTTTACGCTACATTTACTTTCTAAAACTGAAGTTACTAAAAACTATGAATCTACAAAAAAACTTATTTTGTTGAACTATCATGTGCAAAACGTGATCCACTTATTATGATTCCCTCGTCAATCGTGTTATCAAACTTTCCTCCTGATTACGTTCTTTCATATCCTAACCGTACTTTTTCCTTTCCTTACATTCAGCAGTATTTCATTTCATAATCACAGATCCCGAACCTTTTTTAATTTAAGACATCTGTCTTTATAACGATTTAATTACTGTAATTAAGAATTATAGAGACCTTGAATAGGGACCTTGGACTGGTATTTATAATCGATATATTCTTTTACTCAAAATTGTCTTAAATACAATCTTAAAATGTCATTCACTAATCAAAATTCCACATTAACATCTTAAGACATTATTATATTTGAGACGGTCTTAAAATAAAAACAGATTATAATATAAATACCAGTCTTATCCAGGATACATTACATGAAAGAACAGTACTGTTCTTTTTAGAAATAAGCTTAGAAGCTTTAATATACGAGAAAAGATTACATGAAAATTTCTGATCATGTGTAGTATTATGTAATATTGATGGATTAACGTAGAATACTGACGATGATCAGGATTTTAATTCTCGAGCATCATTATTGCTTGATTAGGGATCCATATCACAGAGTGCAATAGATAATGTACGTAAAATTAAAGTGAAATATAGTATCAATGATACTGATCGTGTAAGATTGTAAAAATATTAAGAATATTGATGCATACTGCCAGTATTATTGACTGTAAAATCACCTTTACATTTACATAATACTTATTACTTCTGTTCTGGCATTGCGACACACGTCGTCCTAGAAAAAACAATTGACTTAGGTGAACCTAACAGAATGAAGCAAACGTACGTGACGAAAAGCTTGGCCCATTAATTATAAGAACTCATCGACGTTGTTATTGCATCACTAACATACATACAAATCATCTCTCATTACTGTCCATTATTTAGAAGAAATTATTTATAATTTAGTTGGAAAATCTTATTTAAAGTGTTTCTATTTTGTCATTATGTGCAAATTAAGGCTGAGTTTTATTAACTAATTTAATAAAAGAATAAAATTAATAAGTTTAAGACATAAAAATTGAAATAAAAAATGCGAATATATAAACGATATTAACAAACACCTGTGTAGCAGCGCTATAATAATTTTTATAAATTTCTTTTCCTCACGGTAGGTTTACTTTATAATAATATATTTTATAATATTATACACATATTTTAATAACAAATTTCAATAAAATTTGAACAAATCAATGTGACAAAAATTCTATTATTAGATCTATAAGTGATATTTTTATTTAGTTTTATCTTTATGTATACACCTGTTTAAACATCAAAAAGTTTCTGTAAAATAACAAAATCTTTTTTGAAATACCAGTCCTGCACTTAGCAGATATTCTTTATAAAAGGATATCTGCATTTTAGGATAAAAGAGAATTAGCTTGTTAATTCAATATTGTTTTGCTCTTAAATATATATTTTCAGAAAATACACGCATAATGTCAAAAAGGCGCAATACAACTGATAAAATATTTTGAAAATATACATATGTTCGGAACACCCGTTGCATTACCAAGAGATTATTTATGATATAGAGTCGACTCGGACAAGGACGTAGGTCATCGAGGTTCCATGAGGTTAACTCGTTTAACCTTTTCTTCTCTTCCTCCCGCGCAAGATCGTGATCGAGATCGATGTGGTCTTAGAAATATATACTTCAATTAGAGAAACTTACGATAAAGTGTCGTTCATTAGTTCTTAATTCTTATTGATCTTTTGTTGAAACGATATTGAATGTAAAAAAAAATGAATTGAATGCGAAACAAAGCGCAAATAACAAGAGAGGTTGAGACATTTATTAAATCTAATTAATAAAATTATGCAAAATTAATGATTTGTTAGATTAAAGTTATGTTAAATTAATTATGTTAGATTAAAATAGATTAACTGATTCAATATATAACACATATGCTCCTAACTGGAAAATTAAATAAAATAGAAAGTTTTCATTATCCATACATTTATGATATATTATTTACGTGCATTATTATTATTTTCGATGTTATAGATTCTAATAGCAAAGAAAAAAAATAATGTAATTTATTTCAATGTAGAAATATCGTGTTTCCGAGTTTTACAATTTATAACTCATTAGATTCATTAGACACTCAGAGTTTGCACGAATCCAATTCAACTTTAGAAATGCATACTTTTGAAATACAAGTCAACAAAAGCTTCATTTAATTCATGCAGATTCTATTTCTTAATTTAATTTGAAACTTGAACAACATTGTTACTTGGAAACGTACAAAAGAAACTGACATTAAATCAGACTTTTTAAAGAAGAGAAGCTTCTAAATTGTTTAGATTTATAAAAGACTATGTATATTGTTAAACATTTTTTTTCGTTATAAAAAATAAAAAATTAAATAATGAAATATTTTTTAAGAATAGAATAACTGTAATTAATCGTAAGAAATTTTATGTAATAATATATTATTTCTCGTATAAATTTATATAAATTATAAGTAAAAAATATATTATTTGTCAGACAATTCCTTGTTGCAAGAAAATCGCGTTGTGAGTTAAACTGTACATCACTGTCCAGTTACTTGACCCTGCGTATCTAGCATGACGTTGCTCGGCTTGAAGAGGTCATCGTGACTTGAAGATGATCAAAATCTCTGGTGCTCTCAGGTGCAAAAGATGAAAAACCTTTTATTCATATTTTTTATTTAGTTATTTCAAAATCGTGTTTCTTTTATAAATTTATACTTTTTATAAATAATTAAAGTAAATATAGATAATTTAAAATAAAAAATCTTAACAGCTTTAAGATATAAAATTCTTTAATATCAATTATTTTGATACTGAACTTGAGAAAAGCATTAATTTATATACTTACTTAGTTTGAGTATGAGACATTAAGGAAGTCGCATACTTTGAAATAAAAAAAAACTACAAATTACATTATCAATGATCTAGAGCAGTACAATAAAAGAGAATTACACACATTTCGTATATATATAATATATATTTTATTTCCATGATATATCGATATATGTGTACATCCACCTTCAAATACAATCCATAAACATTTATATTATTGTAATATTTCCTTTAATCATACATGTAGGTAATACGTTTAAAGTTTAAGATGCCCGTATAGGGAAATTGTAAATTGCGGATCATCTGTAATCTATACATACTATTAAAGGATGCTTTTAAATAAATCGCAATCGTTTTAGACACACATATAGGTACATAATAATAAATCTCTGTTCTGATTACAATAATTCTTTCTTCTTGATTATCATATCCATACTTGATTGGAAGAAATCTGTCGTTACATCAATTTTAATTATCCTATCGATTATTCGCATTTCATTGACGAACTAATGACTAACAAGTTGAGAAAGACTGACGATCTGATTGGCGAAAGTGGCCGGAGAGATATCTCCAATCAGAAGGCAGTAATTCCTATAATTCGTGTATCTCTTTTCACTCAATAACTTTTTCCAATTTTTTATCTCATCCAGGAGGATTGCGAAATCTCAAAAACATAAGAATTGAATCTGACCCAGTTTGACTAAAAAAGTTATATTTTAATAAATATCAAGATTTGTATCGTTAATTGTAAAACTATAGATCCTTTACAATTTAATTTGTAAACATCCGGAAGAATCATCAAAAGGAATAATGCAATACGAGAGAATCGAAACGAATTAGACTATTTAAAATGTGTGTCAATATAAACATATTAATTTTCACGTACAATTTTTCATAATAGTTTATATTATTACCCCATTAAAATTTAGAATTTTAGTTTATATTTAAAAAATAAATAAAATAATTTTAACAGGAATTGTTGTCACGACTGTTATCACGAAATAAAGACAATTTTACATTATATTACATTTACATATATTTTAAATAGAAATCAGAACTTACTCGAGGATATTAAATAAAAAAATTTTACAAAGAATAATAGTAATTGTAATAATAATTGTAAGAATAATATTTTTATTTGCAGATATTTCGCAATTTTTTTTGGACTTTTGCTTAACAGTGAAACAAAACGATGGAACTTGAAAAGTAATAGTTATAATATAGTTACAATATAATATAATATATTCTTATAATATAATATATCCTTATTCTTCGCACATTTTAGGGAGATCCGATGAACTGCAGCTCTGAAGGAACGATCGATTAGTGTGAATCAAGGTCCTTTGAATGCAGTGTGCATTCGTCATAGCGTGCATTTCTGGCTTCAATTTAACGACGACCTTCACTGGTGAAGATGGAACGACGGAAAGGTGGGATTTAGGGAGAAGAATATCGGAATCTTAAGAAAAATAAAGTATATTTAAAATATGCAACTATATATATATAAATATAATATCGAACAAAAAATAACGTTGTATTTAATAGTAAATTTTGTGTACGTATATGCGCACGCACGTATAGATGTAACTTTTGATAAAAATTGCATTAAAGTTGATCAATGTGAATTAATTATAATTAATTATATTTTCGCATTACCTACATTGTAATTAGAGAGGTCTACGACTTAGAAAGAGAAGAAGGATCGTTAAGCATATCGATTAGTCAATACAGTTGATCCCGAGCATCGAATATCGTGAGAGAGGTAGTCATGAACTGCATTGGGAAACTGCATTGGGAGACTGGATCTATAGATATTATAGAAGAATGTAAATAGTTTCCGAGCGAGTAACATTTTGCAAGCTATTGCCAATTATGATATCACAAGCTTGAAGAATCATTTCTCTCTTTATTTCTCTCTCTCTCTCTCTCTCTCTCTCTCTCTCTCTCTCTCTCTCTCTAAAGAATCTAACAAATACACAAAAGCAAGATGTCAAAGCGTATTATCGAGGCCTTCGTTTTAATCAAGAATGCAAACCGCAAAACTTGAAAACGTGGAATTCCTCGTGGAATTCCCACGAGACAGATATATCGAGATGTTTAAGTTATATGGGAGAATCGTTCAAATATACTTAAGAGATATTATCGTTGGGATAGACTTTCAAAAAGGATTGGGAGAGTAAATAGAAAAGAAAAGAAAATATGTAAGAAACAAGACGTGTAGAAATTAGATTTATGGCAAAAGGAGAAAAAGGGAGGATATCGTTTAGCCCCACTTCTGAAAGAGACCCATCCGTTGACACTTGCAATTAGAACCCCAGAGATTGCAGCGGCAGCTAGAACTGTAGCAGCAGTCCTTCCGTCGGTGGTAACAATCGCCGCCACGCCTTATGCAAGCCCGCCTAAACAAGTTTATCGACGAGGTACGTCTACTCGAGATTAGGGAAATCGAGAAAATGCTTTTTCACAACATTGAGACATCAAGGGAGGGACCAAAAGATCGCAATGTCGATTCGGTGTTCTCTGCAGTCACGCTCACACATGCATATATATATATATATGTATGTATGTATTGACTATAAATACTAAAAAAAATCATTTTTTTCTTAGAGATGTAAAAATAAATTGTTTTTCAAGTTTTTATTTTCTGATCTTTTTAATTCTTAAAAGATTTTATTAAAAAAAAATAAAAATGGAAATAATGGTGTAGAGTAGCATATGTACACGTCTCATTATACTTGTATGTTTTCGACGTCCATAAAATGTATACAGTTTCCGTAACAGTCAGTCAGGGAAGAAGGAAAAGAGGTAATCCAGAGATCTCAGAAAAGATCCCGTTGAGGAGAATCGTAGGAAAATAAAACCGGACAAGTAAGATAATCTACTCACTTTTGTGCCACTCGCATCAGATTTTCCAAAGTGTCTGTATAATCCGAAGAGTCGTCAGCTTGAAGATCGTTTACATCTTCTGTAAGCGTAAAATAAATGATTCGTTTTAATACATGCATAATCTGCAATATATTTTAATCCGATTAGTTACATTATAAATTTTAAAAAATAGAACTTTTTTTCAATTTATGCAAAGCAATGTATTTTTATGGATTAATATAAAAAAAAATAAGTATTCTTTGCTGGAATGCTGGAAAAGACTCGTATTGTGTACAGATTTAACACCAGATTCTCTCCGAAATACTATCTCAGCAAACAACGTTACAATGTTACTGTAAATGAAATGTTTCATAATGTATCTTATTTACTGGGACAGAATATATCCTGAAAATATTTTCGCGCTAAACGCAATGCCATCGTCAAAATTTATGTACATCAGGATTTTAGTAAATTGGGGTGAGATGGCGTAAAAAATGCTACTTTTTTACTTCTACGCAAATTCTGACGATAACATCATGTTTAACGTAAAAATCGCTTCGAGATATACTATTACACTTCACTACACAAAAAGAAAAAAAGTATTTTGTCCAATTATGTAATCACATACGAGCATAGATTAAGCATAGACACTCCATGATTCAAGAATTTAAAAAGTATATCTCACAGAAGAAAGTCTATTATATATTTTATAAGGCAATATCAACAATGGACTCGATCTTGATGTATTTCTTTGACTCGATATGTAGTATACGGTCACTGCGGGAAATAATTTTATCTCTTTTGGCAAAAATAAATTTCATCAAATAGAATATTCCCTAGAAATATGACAAAGCTACTTGCACGAAACTTGTAAAAAGATGTTATGAATTGAAATGAACAGAAAGTATAAAACAAAGTTATCTTATATCAGCTGAAAATATATACAAGCTTCACAAAGAAGGCACTTCATCCAATACTGAAAATTATAAAATCGGAAAAAATAAAACTTTTAGTTTCTTTATACACACACACACACACACACACACACGTATAATTTATACCCACTTTTAATAAAACTTACAAAATTAAAGTTACCCAAGTAGCACACAACGCTTACAAAACGTTAATAAAGTACTAAAAAAGCGATTATATATGCTTTGTTAATGCTTTGCAAGCGC